TTTCTTTATACTTCCTTCTGCCCCTTTTTTTCCTTTTCTTTCTGTGTATATTTAGATTTATTGCTATACGTTCTATAGCTATTCTATTATATGTTTTTATATACTAAATCTTGCTTTCACTCTGCCTGATAAGAAGTTCACTAGTAAATTACCAAACCGTGGCCTTAAAAGTAGCTTTTCTTTTCATGTTCTTTTTGTTTTATCTCCATTTACTGCCTAGCCCTATAGTGGGTTTCTGCACCATGGAGACCCTCCATGGTTCATTGCTCGCTCTGAAAAGAGGCGTACTCCAAAGTGGAGATAGCATAGTCCCTATTGCATGCTGTAGATAAAAACAGTGCCTTAACAACCTCAAGTCTGAGGAGTGGACTGACGTTGCTACTGCTGACTAACCAGAGCAGGCTGTGAAGCAACAAAGATTATAACTTAACGAACTAGGAGCGAATGAAGAGAAGTGCCTTATAAGGAAAAAGCAGAGAAGGGAGGAAGAAAAGTAAGTACCATAGTAAGCCAGTGAATTAAATTCAGATAATAGGAGGGGTAGGTCTTGGTATTCTGATGCATGAAGAATGTAAAATGAAATGCCATAGGTGTGAACTGCAGAATCCCCACCTGGTCAGAATACAGGTTCCAGAGGTTTTCTGAAAGTGGAAAAAGCTCAAAACACAGCAGCGTGAGGTGGCAGAGATGTAGCCTAATAAGTATATGAAGAGATTAAATATTTTAGTTATTTTCATTTAAACATAACATAATGCAGAGATGAAAGCTGAGTACATGCTGCAGCCTGCCTAGGTTTGCTCTCTCGTTAGTTATGCAGATCACAGTCTTTCAGAATGAAGGGTTGACATTTGGGCTTTGCATTTTTTTATTGCAGTGGTAGCTACTCACTGCACGTTCCTCCTCTGTCACGTGTTTTTTCATATATGGGTCTTATCACATTCTGAGGCTTGAGCTGTGCATCATAGGTGATCAGCATTTTGCAAGCGAAAGTGAATTTTGTTCTTTTTTTTTTTTTTTTCCTCATTTGCCAAGAGTAGTATCTTTCATGCCAGTGCTCATTTTGTGGGAGATGATAAAAATGTAGTCAACACTTGGGAAGCTTTTCTAGCATTACTTTGGCAAACAGTCCATTTTTTTCCTTACTGCTTGCCCCCTTCTCTTCAGTGAAGTGAAGCATTGGCAGAAAAGTGATATAACTGAAATGTTGCTTAGTATAATTCAAATAGAGGGCGTGAGAAAACTGCCACTACGTCAAAGGGAGTTGGATCACCCTGGGATAGAATAGTTGTGCTATTGGAAAGATGCTTAATATGCTGTATAATGAAAGCAACACTGTAATGTGGCAAATGTAATGCTGTGAACCTAATACTTGTGTGACATGATGGTGACTGATAACTCAGTATTGTGTTGAGCATTTCAATTTCATTTCTACTGTGATTGCTCACTTTGTGCACTTTGAAACTATACCCAGTCTGAAACATAACTAAACCATGAGGCCCTTCAGAAGGCGTGGGGGGGGGGTATTAATTCTCCTTTCTTCACTTATGGACTGATGGCTGTGACTATGTTTAGATAAACTGTTACGATGCAGAATTGTTTGCTTTTCACCTTGTGTGTAAACAGGGGAGAACAGTTAAAAATATGGCTCTGCAAAACTGAGTGTTAGATTTTTGAGGGCAGCATGAAGTCGGTTTCTGGTAACTAGTGAAGATAATTTGATAGTGGGCACCTAACTCCCGTAGAGCTCCTTTGACAGTTTCAGCCTTGTCATTCCAAGCATGTTTGCAAAACAAAACAAGATTCCTGTGCAGATGCATTTGCAGTTCCACATGCTTTCTCTGCAGCAGTGAGTAAAAATCTCATCAATTAATGAAACAATACAGTACACCTGTTTTGCAAATGCTACTTCTTTGCACAGCTGCAGTAATTACATTACACTCTTATTCTTCTCCTCTCACCTTTTTGGACTCGGGATGCTTTCTCTTCTGAACAGTTGACTGCAAGCAATCCCCTCTAGGCATGCTACTGTGCTTGAATACGGCCTTTTTTTTTTTTTTTTAATACTGTCAAAATTTAAACCACTGTAATGTGGAATTAGCCTCTTTTGAAATTAATTTTTCCACATTTACTGTGGTGTGGTTTTGTTCTTCAAATGAATTCTAGAGTTCAGAAATAGTATTCCTTCTTGATGAAAATTTTAGTTAATGAGAGTAATTCAATAGAAGCCGTGGTTTGTGGACATTAGTGAAATGAGCCCTCCCCCTCCCCCCCCCACCTCCCCCCCCGGTTATCTAGCTGTGAATTGTCAACACATTTGTATTTGCCCATTTACTTTTTACTTTTCCCTCCTTTCACCTAGTATGTAAAGCTTGTACATTTGAGAGAGCTATAGCCGAATTCTAAAATACATTTCTGAGTTCTTTGCAACGGGTGTTTTTTGTTGACTGTATTGTCCCTTCTGTTTCCAGTAAAGGGCTGCCTTCGAGCTCAACGTTCACTTTAGAAGACAGTGCCATCTACTTGACTTCGGAACAGAGCACACTGGAAATGGAAAATGATAACGCTTCAGTTTTGGATGTCTATTTAGTAAGTTTTCAAACTGATTTTGGTGGGCTTTTTTTTCCCTGCAGTAACTTTGATCCAGGCTCAGCAAGATACTTAAGTGCATGCAGAACTTCAGGAACCAAAGGTTTATTTACGTATTCCTTAAATGGCATATGTTTAAGTACCTTGCCAAAGCACATCCTATGAGAATCTAAGTATTAACTACTGTGTTTTGGAAGTATGGCAACATTCTCTCAGCTCTTCTGTGATGGTACTTATTTTCTTCTATTATTTATTTTGCATGCATATAGGAGGGGAAAAAAAAAAACAATTTTTTCCTCTTCATATTGAAGGTTGCACAATGGAGAAAGTAAATTTTCCAAGACAGGAAAGTCCTGTGTTTACATTAATGTTTTTGAAGCTGATGAATAATTTAAGTACAGCTGAATATGAAGTATGTTAATAGCTCCCAGTTGTGCATGCAGTTGTGATGGCAACACTATGATTTTTAAAATGCACTTTGTTTTGGTGCCTGCTGATCAGTTTTACTTCCCACTGGTCAGTTTGTCTGACTGCTGAGAGAGAAGCTCAAGCCCACATCTTTGATTGTCTTCATATCATCTGTGGTGATGTTTTAATAATTCTTCTGGTGTATACAGCCCTTGTCCCACAGATGTAAGGGCATTAAGCCCACAACTGTGGTTGTATTTGAATGCAGTTTAGTGCATCCAGCTTCCTTGGGCCCTTTTGAAAAATTTCAGTATAAAGATAGGAGGAAGGCATATGAAGCTTTGCTTTTCTTCCGAAGTTTGTTTTCCTAAAGCATAAATTAAACAAGCCTGATTAAGAATGGAAGAGGTAATAGGATAAAGAAATGTCAATGATTTTTTTTTTTGAAAGAATTTAGTATACTAGAGAGAAGGGGGAAAAAGGAAAGCCTGGTTTTCATTAGGTTTCTAAATTAATGTGTCATAAAGACATGGTTGTTTTGCTTTTAGCTAAGGCTCATTACATTCTTTGTCTTCCTCTTTTTGTCTGATGAGATCCAGGATATGTCACGCGTTTTTGTTTGATGCCCGTGCAGTTCTCTCTGTAGGCTGTACCTCTGGTTTTTTTTTGTTCAGCTAGCAATGTTTGAGTATATACAGTACCCACTCAGTAGCTACTAATTTAATAGTGCAACTCGGGTAGGGGAGGAATTGTCTTTCCAGCCTCCGCTGAAATAGCACAGTAGCAAGCAGCTAGTGGTCAATTAGATGTAAAATTGACTTGGTTAACTGTAACCTCAAGTAGCCCATTAAACTAGCCTACTCCTATAGGACTTGTATTAATCGGGCTTGCTGCTAGTACGATGTCGACATGAATAGCCTGTAAAGAGACACAGAAAGCCTGAAATGGTATGGGAAATGGATAGGCAAAGAGCAATTATATGCATCCTATCTTCTTGCCTGCCAGTCTACACAGAAACGACTTCTTGTTGACAGTTTTTGATTATGGTTTATTAAATAAAAATGTTTACCACCAGTACCACTCAGCATTGTGAGGTGCTCTCTTGAAATGCTGTCCATATGAGGATCCGTGCGATGATGATCCTTTGTTAGTTTGGGGCTTGTAACACGTTCGTTATTCTTATACCTGGGAGACGGCAGCAAGTATGTATTCCACTCATCAGTATCAACAGAAAAATAAATAAAATCCTACTCTAGGGGTATGTAAACACCCAGGGTTTATTCCCCTGAGCAGAGGCCTGGAAGAATAAATAGGTCTTAGGTGAAAAATTATACATTCTCTTTTGTCCTCGCAGCACGCTTTCCCAGCACTCCAAAAAACGCAGACCTGATGTGCAGTCATATGGACCACGAAGTGGTGCATATTGTGAGTGCCTACATGGGCAAAGGCTGACCATTTCAAGGGAATTGGATGTTGTGGCTAAGCACAGGTTACTTAGGTGGCAAAATCAGCTTTAGAAATTACCTGCCCCTACCTTACTGGTCCTGTCCCCCCCATGCTATATGGCAGCCGCCTTAACTGTGTCAAGACAGCTATGGGTGTAAGCTGTAAACTTAATTGCATATACCCCTGTGTAACTATGCTGAGGTGTGTGTGGAAGGAAGAGGAGTAGGATACTATTTTGTGCACTAAACTTTTACTTCCAAAAGTCCACCGATATCCTGCAGCACTGCCGGAAACAACAGTCTGGCTGGGAGGTCTGAGACTAAGGCATCAGCTTGTTACCAGCTTGATTCACTACTGCTGAGGCAGGAGGCAGTTTTATTTTTGTGGAGCATGATAATTAAATGCAGATAGGAAGGAAAAGATGCATGTTTTCATAAACATTAGGACCAAGCCAGTCACTTTTAATAACGTCTGTCTCAAAAATAAAGCAGATCAACTGTGATTGCATTAGCTGATTCAGCCCTGATTGAAAACATTACCAGATACATTTTGACCTTTAAGAGCAGGGGGAAAATGTAGCTTTAAATAGCGTTCACAAGTTCCTCCTCTAAACTCATCGTTATGAATCCTTATCTGTGTTTCTATTGCAAGGCAAGCTGCTGTAGTCTTATCTGTTAGATATTGTGATGAATAATATCTTAACTTTGTTTCAGTCAGTTCACTGATCCTTTGCTGTCCTTGCCTCTTGCTTGGATATGCTGAAGTTCTTGGATAAATTTTCATCCCGTAGTAAATTAAGGGCTATGTTCTTTTCATCTCATGAATGAATAAAACATTATAATAAAAAGACATTATCTTGACTTCCTATTAAAAAAAAAAAAAACTTTAAAAATGGCATTTGGCTGAACAGTGTTGTGTGCAAATTCAGATAGTCAAGTAAGGTGGGGGAAGAGAGACTATGAACATGAAATTCTTTGAATTGGTAAGAGAACTGATGTTGTTGAGTGCTACGTTAAGGAAACCCCATGCAGATCCACACCCTGCCACTGATGTCAAAGTTTTAGTTAAAGACTGCAGAACAATAGAAGCAGATCTATAAAATAATTGGAAATTTGAAATGTTACTTTGTAGAGGGCTAAAACATTAAAGGGTTCTTTTATGAAAATGTAATTCACTAGTAAAGCAGATCTTTAAGAACGTAAAGATACATGTTTGAGATAGTCAGAAGGTATCACTGTACATGGTGATAAACGACTAACAGGGGAACTGAGTCAGAAATAACGTTAAGTTTCCTATTTTGCATTTCACTCTAAAAATCCACAAAACAGCACAGTAAAACAATAACCCCCCTCCTCCTGAGTGTAAACTTAATCTCTTTCAAAATCCTGAAGCCCTATTTATTGGTGTTAGTTCAAGCAGCTTCAGCAGTTGTATGAGCAGAAAAGCATTAAATGCCGGCAAATGCCGTTGGACACAAATACTGTGTTTGGTAGACCTTGATTACTATGAAGAATAAAAACAATCCTTCAAAAGTTTCTTTAGAGAGATCAGCAAGCGTGAGGGATTCCCCAGAGCTGAGTCTGGTGTAGCTAAGGGCCAGACCCTAAAATGGAGCATCTTAAAAGCAGTCATTGCGTGTAGAAAGTAGGAGTGACTTGAAATCCCCATGTTCCTTCTGTTCTACAACAGAGCTTCAACTTCTTCAAACTTTCTGTCCTTAAAAGAGCAACAAGTGCAATTATGAATTACTCCACCGTGTTTTGTCTGCCTACTCCTGAAATGACTTATTGATAGGAAGGCAGCTGTCCTATCACTTTCACAGACTACAGCGTCAGTAAAATCAGAGTAGTCAGGCTTAAGATTTAGACTAATTGGTTCAGCATAAGAAAGTTTGATTTCCTTTACATTTAGTATGTGCAAGCATTGAGCATGCCTGTAAATAGCACCGTGAAACTCTGAAGTTTGCTCTGTTGTGATGCTATGCATATTAAATCAGCTGACAGTAAATACAGGATTTTACCTACCTACTTACCTACAACTTTTCTGTAATGAACTGTTTTGCTTGAGGAGTCCTTCTGTATGCTAATTATAATGGAAGTTTGGTGGTGCAGAAATACTTATGTGTAAACACAGCCTTGCCCTCTTTTGTTGGAGGAAAGGCACACACAATTTGCATATCATTTAGAAATCCTTACTGCTGAAAATTTGGTTGCAAAAGATTGATAAGGGCTTTGGTGAAATAGAAGACAGTAATAACTGTAGTGATGAGCAAGCCTCATATTCAGCATCTGGTTAGCGTAACTATGATTTGTGTCAGATGAATTGTGTAGATAACACTATTACATGCAGAATTACTCACTGTGGTTTTATGTCTAAATGACAGTTCTATTATAGGAGTCTGAAGTCTTAAAACATTGCTTGAGATTAATTTGATATCTTAAAACTGCTGTAGGTACATAGCAGCTTAACAGTATTGGTCTATAAATTACCTCTCTAGAAACGATGATAACTACATGCGTGCCATAAAGTTTGGCAGACAACCAAACTGAATTTCTGCTCTATCCCACTCCACAAATCTTGGTTGGTGGGTGGGAGGGAGGGAGTAGGAGGCTTGCTGAATGCTGCCTGCCTCTTCCTGCCTTCAGTGAACCTTCCTCTTTTCTTCTTCTCTCACTCCATAGTCTTGCCTTTAGCCTGCCTCTCCTTTTCAGCACTTCCTGTTTCTTAATCCAGCCTTTCCTATAGACATCTTATTGTCCTTTCTAACTCGTCTTTGCTGTTACTTTCTCTTGAAAATTTTTTCACCCCTTCAGCTATTTTCACGTGAGCACCCTGAACTCAGTTTTCTAGCTAGGACTCTTTTTGCAGAGAAGAAAGTTCACACTTGTCTCTGCTCAGGTAAACCATGCAGCTTTGACTTAGGGTTGTACTTCCACTGTAACTCCTTGGCAAGGTAAGAGGTGTTTGTTTTTCACACCGTAACATGGTGTCTTCCATAACCCTTGATTCGGTTCTAATCAGGGAACAATTTTCTTCAGGATGCTGCTGTGAAATAATAACAAATGTGGCTGAAACCAAAGCAATTCCCACGCAGGCTATGTGCAAGAACAACCTAGTAAGTGTACAGCCACACTGTGATGTTTGCCTGAAATTTTGATAAGTTGCTCTCCTTCTGGAGGGTCCAGTTTCTCTGCCTCACCATTTCTTTCCCTGAAGATACTGATGGAAAACCATGGTAGACTAGACATTAATTCTGAGACTATGGGAAGGGCCTCATCACTTACAGACATACTTTCTTTCTGCTGAGAGCAGAATAATCCTTAAAACGCCCTTCACACGGATGTGTCCATACTGGGTCCAATAAAGCACTCTT